AATTTTTTTTTAAATAAATAAACGCTGAAAACTATTTTCATACATTTTAACGTGAAAACGTTTTTTGATAATATCGTTCTTATAAGAATACGGTTTTTTTTATAATTTTTAATCTATACATATGGTCAACATTATTTTAGATGCATGGGTTTATTAAATAATAAGGTGACCGGTATTACTCACTGACCATAGTTCCCCCAGTCCTCCTAGTTCTTTTTAAAAAAGGCCTATCATCCGATTATATACAATTTATGTATAAATAATTTTTTTATAACCTTCAAGTCCTTTTATAGGACATTTTTTATTTATAATTGACAAAATAATTTACAGCCTCAAAGTAATGGAATTAATCCTGGTCAGAACTAAAAAAGTTTACGTCACAGAACTTATATGAGCTGAAACTATACATCCTGCTATAAAAAATGCAAAAGTAATAAAAAAATATGAGATCTAGAAGGTCTCTAAGTTTGCTACTCCAGTTTTGATTTTGAACACACGATTATGGGTTCATTATAATTATGTAAGTTAATTTTTAACAAAACTAATTCATATGAACTTGATTAAGATTATTTCTTAATTATTATTTAGCTCAATGTTCCTAAGAGAATGAGTGTATCAAATATGTGTTTGATCATAGATCTTAAAACCTTGGTCTATTTATCACTTAATAACTTTAAGGTAACTCTTATAAAATTTTGAGTTATACAAATACCTTGTTTTTTGTTACTAGTTTTTTTCATAGTATAAACATTTAAGGATTTTCATTTTTTTTATCATGTGACCACATTATTTTAAGTATTATTTCAAATCAAATAATAAAATTTGGTAGAATAATATTAAAAAACTATAGTTAAAATATTATTTATTAAAACGCCAATTTACATCATGATTAGTATTTACAAAAATATGATGTAATATAATGATAATTAAAGCAAAAATTATTGTAATTTGGTAAAAATATTTATTATAAAATGATGCACATAAAAATTTTTGGCTAGAAATTTAAGCATCAATTTCTACATAGTTCTTCTAAATACATAATTTTTAATAGTTACTCCACTACCAAGTATGTATCTAATAAATTAAATTTAAAATATTACAGTTAAATAATGTATTTATCATTTAAATTAATTATAATACAATTAAATCAATATATTTCCATTGAATTATTTAAAGATTAAAATAAAAAGATAAAACAACAAAACAATTAAATGTGCAATTATAAAATTTACCTGAAATATTTTAAGTTTTAGTGATATTTTTATAGCATTCAATTTATTATCATAGTCTTACTACTTAAATTTATAGATAAATTTGCATTGAATATATATAACAATTATAAAAATATTTTTTACTTAAGAACTAAAAAAACCTGGATAGTTTATTAAATAATTTGGGAAATCCATTTTTTGACATGTTTTTTTTAATAAGATTTTATCTTAATTTGTAAATTATTGGGATATTATAAATGACTTATTTTTATTTTATTGAGTTTTGTTTCAATAAATTTTAACAATGATAATCTTGGGGGTTTGAAGTCATCGTAGTGGTTGTTTTTAACTTGTACTATTTTTTGAGATCGTTGCCCTCGGCTATTAACACCTTTAAAATTTTAACAAATCATATTATAATTTTCACAAGCATTAGTATATATATATATATATATATATAAATACAAAGAGTAGTCACACATGCTGTAATAAATTTTATAGCTTTTGATTCAGTTACGATTGTACAATGTGTATTTTTAAATAATTTTTACATTTTAAAACTACAATGAAAAGTTATAATTAGGTTCCATAATTATATGTATCCATAAATTTTGTTTGAGCCACTAAGATGGGTTCCAAGTATTACAATTTGTTTGTAGGAGTATATAGGTGATTCACTTTTCATGAACCATTTGATTAATCAAAAAATAAAAATAATATTAATAATTTTTTTAATTTATTTTTTTTTGTTCAATTTTTTAATTATATAGTTTTTTTTATGTTCATCTCCTATACTGTATAAGTGTGTCAACTTAATTTTTTTAAATAGAAATATACATATTAACTAGCTTATTTAATAGATAATGATCTAATTAAGAAAATAAATGGTCGATAACAACTTTTAGATCAGTGTTTTAGAAGTTATTAATATGTTACTAAAGTGAATTAAAAATTTAAAAATCGATGAAAAAAAAATCATTATTGATTATTAGATTTGTCCTATCTTCACTACTCACTCGGTATATATATTAAGTTTAAAACTTACTCGTTGCATCAAGTGAGTAATAACGAACTATACCATGAAGTAATAATCTATGGTAACTAGGTAAGGGCACTGATGTATAAACTCCATTTGGTGAAAATGTAAAATACTGAACTACTTCAGTTTCCAGATCATTAATAGTTGTCTGAAAAAAAATAATTTATGAATTTTTATTAAATGATTACATGTTCAATTATATTAAATGAATCTTTGAGATACTAATATATATCTGTTACTACCAGTTAATAACATTAAATATTTATTTTTTTAATATACAAATGACAGCATTTATACTTTTTATTGTTAATCATACAAATTATTATTTCTAGACATTATTTTGTTAAAATACAGTACTAGAAGTGTATATATATTTATATCTTACAAATGGTAAACTCTTTTGTTTAAATAATGACTTTTGAGAAGTTGTCAAATTTTTAAATGCTATTTCTGGTTGAGTTATACGTTTCCTTTTTTTTTCATAATTCATGTTTCTTTTTTTTTTTTTGAGTAAAATATCTTCTTGTCCTTCAAGAAAAGATTCTTTTAACTATAAAAAAGATTTTAAATTAATAATAAATAATAATATTTCCATTTAATCTTAATATAAGTATTTTATTATAATTTTGTATAAAAATAACTATTTTATTCTAAAATCACTAGATAAAATAATAATACACAAAGTTTACCATAAATTCTAACCTAGAACTACACTAGAGAAAATTTTAATTTTATTTATATTTGATAAAGATTAAAATAACTTGTTTAAATAAAAATAAATTCATTGAATAGTGCAATGGAATGAAGTCAAATACTTATACGTTACAGATTAGTACATTTCAACTATTTTTTTATAGAAGGTCTATTATATTCCATCTTGATTCAATTAATATTTTGTAGACAATTTTTTTTTTAATAGTTATTTCCTTCTTAAACTATATTAAAACATAATTTATTTTATCATTTTTTTTTTTTTTAATTCTAAAATGGTCAATTCATTTTCATAAAAAAATTTTGATGGGTTAATAATTAATAATATTGAACATAGTCTTTGAAGGCAATAATTATGAACCTCATGAGATCCATATTATACAATAATGACACGCAAGATAATATCAAATAAAAATATACTTACAGTATGGTGTGAACAATGCTTGAATACATTTGTAAATCCATTTTTGTTGTCATTATAGAATATAGTGTCTTCTGAGGAGCAATTGTCAGAGAGGGAAAGAAGAAAAATTTCTAAATAAAAAAATTAAATGTTTAATATAGCAATAAAATGATCAAAGAAGTTTAAAAATAGATTATATTAATATGAGACAAATACATTTTTGTAATACTAAATTATTGAGAATATTATACTTTTGATAAGTATTTTATACTATATCATATATTTAACAAATAGATGCTATTCTAATTTTATTATCATTCTAAGTTAATAATGTGCCTTAACTCAGTACAAAAATACAGAGTTCAATTCCATTTCACTGGGAAATGCATGTTTTCTTGTTCCATCTGGTATAAGAAATAGCCTTTAGAGGTATGGTAAACATAATAAATGTTAAATATAAATCTTGAAAATGCCAGTAAAATCTTGAATTATTTTTATTGGCTGTCATTTAGTAGATATTATTTTCAAAGAATTAAAAAAAAAAAAATTAATTATAAAGTATTTATAAGAATGACGATTTATTAATTGATTATTGAAATATCTGTTAAAAAATCACTTATATAAGTCATCCCGAAAAACGCTTACTCATTATAGTAGTTAACTAGGTATTTTACACATAGCAAATGCTTATATATAAGTATACCATTTTGGGCACGGTTAGCTTTTCTTCTTCCCATTTTTGAAATTTTTTTTTTAAACAACTGTTTAACTTGTTGAATTTCATCTGGAAAACTTGTTTCATCTTTAAAATGAACTTGGTACAATAGTTCAGGCTCATCAATATCATATGGTTCATTATTTTCTAAAAACTCAAAATATTGTAAAGGGTCTTCTAAAACTATGTCACCTGGGTTTTCAGTGTTGTCACTAATGGTATCTGAAAATCCATCAGAACTGTAAAGAAACAATAAATATATTTTATTATACAATTTATATATATATATATATAAGTATTTTGTATATATTAATATAAAATGTCTTTAATATATTATAAATTATATAGTATGATTGTAGTATATAGTATATAGTACATTGTATGATAGTTTAGATATTGAACTTTATATTTCAAAATAGATTTTTTAAATTAAATTTTAAACTTTTTAATAAAAAGATCAATATTAATTTTGTAATCAATTTCATATATTTAGGATGAATAGTTAATTTTATACTTTAAGAAAATATTGGAGCCTCTTCAATAAAAGTCCAAAGCGAGGAAGTTACAATACCTTATAATTGCCTTGACCTAATGTTTAAAAAATAGGCTTTTAATGGTTTACTTTTACTTTGAATAAGTATAATACATTTTACATTAAATTATTTTTGATTCTTCATCATTTATAGACTAATAAAGAAAAGGAGTTAGAGGCCTGATTATAAAATAAATTGTAATACGGTCAAGGATTCTACCAAAATTTTTAATTTCCTAGTAGATCTATGCCCTTGACATACATAATTAGAAAAATAAAATTATAATTACTTGTCTTCAATTTCAACAGCAATAATTTCATCACTGCAAGAACTAGCAGGTCTTTTAGTTATACCCATTTTGGTAAAACTTTAAGTACTGAAACAGGAATAAATATGTACATAGAAAATTAAATTAAAAATTATACTGAATAAAAAACATTATGAATAGCTTGTTCAAAAAAGAATACTTACAATAAAAAATATAAATACGTATATTTATTTTTCGAAATGCTATTTACAATTTGAGCAAAATTTATTAAGAAAAATAGTTTACAATATTATGTGTATTAAATTTATATAAATTACTATATTAAACTAGTCTATTAACATAAAAAGTTAAATTATGTAATTAGTTAATAAATTGTGATTGCTTAGTCGATTTAATCAGGGTATCCAAATTTGGTATAACAGAAATGTCAACACAGTGCTAAATAAAATTTTTTTAAAAGTTCTTAACAATAATTTAATCTCTTTGTAAATAGATGAGGTCAGAATCTGGTATTTTGATGCGTTAAATCATATGGTATTATGGCGGATACATTCCAGTTATAGTTCTGCCTTAATTCACTAGATCTCGATACGTAATTAATTCATTATGTAGTTACTTTAAGTAAAGCGTGTTGTACCAAAATATGCTATTCCAAATAATAAAATGGTAAAAATGTTTACCGTACCAAATACAATATTGGTCTTATGTAAAATTATAGTCAGATTTATAGTTTTGCTGTTTTAATAACACTAACGATCTAAATAAGATTGTTTAAAACTGTTTATTCAGGGTACTACGATTATAAATAGGATACAATTAATAATAAAAAAAATTAGTGATGAGCATTTTCAAATATTTTAAACTATCGATTAACTAGTCGAATTGTGTTTATACCACCGAATATTTTATTTTTAGCATAAACTATCAAATATTTTAAAAACTATTCGAATAAACTGTCAAATATTTTAAAACTATTCGAATAAACTATCGAATAGTTTAAAAACTATTTGAATATATTGTGTAACTATCGAATATTTTTACTAGTCGAATAGTTTTTGAATGACTATCGAATAGTTCAAATAGTGGAAAACTATCGAAAGCTCGATATTTACTATTCGATATTTCCCATCACCAATTTTGAGAACTAAAAATTTTTATAACAATCTTAAGATATTTTACTAAATTAGAATTTATTATTAATGAATATGATAAAAATATTTAATTTATAAATAATAATTACAATTTATAATAACATTTAAGGGTCATTCCATTTGAAATTATCTAATGTGTGTGCTGCTATAATTCAGAAATTTTTTAAATTTACATCGTAGACTTTTTAAAGGTCATTGAAGCAAAAATAATATATTTTTTTTATTGTTTTTTTACCAGAGCGCATTTTTTATAATTAAAAACATGAAAAAACACCTTATGTTCTAGAGCCTATAACTTCACATCCAAATAAGCTAGCACTGTTGAACTAGCACTGTTTTATTCATATTAAATAGTACTTAAATTTAATTTTTAAATTGACAAATTTTGAATTTTTTACCATCGAATTTTTAGTTTTATTTTTTTTAATTTTTGCAGTATTTTAATAGCAAAATTTGAAGGTTAAAAAATTTTTTTTCTTTTCAGAAATGTTTAGTTATTTTCTTTTAAACCATATCATATCTGAATCGATTTATAATTTTTTTTATTACGTTTTATGGTCTTGAACACGCATGGTTTGCTGAAAATAGCCAACTTTGTCATCTCATCACACAAATATGATTAAACGAATTTTTTCAAATTTACATAGTAATTACATTTAGGCAATAAAAACATCTGGTTAAAATTTTATGATAGAGAAATAATTTTAACGCTACATATAGAATTTACAAAATTTACAATTTACGTATATTGGAAAATCCACAAACTACGTAATTTTCCACATTTCATTTTTATTTTTTGTATTTATTCTTCGCTTTGTACTAGATTAAGTTATTGGGACTCATAACAAAATCCTAGGAACAATGGCGGCTAAGTTCGGAAATTATTGGATCTAAATATATAGACTTAATATAACATCTTCAATCTGAAACCAAATCATTTTTTATTTATTATAATAAATAAAAATAATAATAATTAATCTTATAAACTATATTTTAGTATATTATCAATAATTATTAATAATATAATAAAAATAATATGCATTATCAAGAGTGAATTTTATAAACTATCAAATTATTTTTAAATAATCACTAAGAATCACAAAAAAAATTGTTTATAACAATCAAGGGCGGTCCAATTTTTATTCATTAAAATTTCAGCCTTCGTGTAAAAATTAGTTCTGGCGCTCTTAGAAGTAGTTAAATTTCTTTTTGATTTCAATATACCTAGAAGAACCTCATTCGATTAGTAAAACCAATTGTGTATGTTACAAATTTTACGTTTTTCTAACTACTGAAAAGTTTTTCCGATTTAAAATTTATTTAAATTTTAAAAGTTTAATGTAAAATTACTTTTATGTGTCCAATGTAACACTTAGATTTCAATACCTTTATTTTGATTATTTATTCAGTTTGATTGATATTCCGTTTATGATTTGTGTATCACAGAAAGATAAACAAAAAATTTTTAGACACTTTTCTGCGGCACAAAAACCTTTAAAATCCAAGTAATTACTAAGGGGTCATTGGTGAAATGATGTAATATAAAAATGAAGTATTAACAGACACACGAAAGTTCGGCGAGGATAAGGAAACTTACAGGGGGCGTCGGCGTTTGGTATATAGGAAGCGAAGCTTTTAGTGGTTGATGGGAATGGGAAAAGAAGGAAGAGAACGCCGGCGGTTCGAGTGAGGTAGGGTGTCTATCGATTGGTCAGGCGAAATGCAGTTGGGCGACTTACACGCGTGTGCCGCCGCCGTCCTTATAGCGTTGACGATTGCCGTTATTTCAGCGAGCGACAACGATGGGAACGCTAAGCTGTTGTTATTCGGCTTGCTCTCGGCATAGTTCTTAAACTCGTGGCCGCACGTTGTATGAACTCGGTTGTATTTGTATTATATTTTGTTATGTTTATGTAGATTTTTTAAAATTAAGTGTTTGGTGAAGTTGTTCTTTGGGCGAGTTCCGACTTGTGTTGTTGAATTCGTCGTCGTTGCCGCCATCGGTGATCCGTTCTGTAACCGTCGGGTATGTTCAATTTCGCCAGTAAAATGTTGAATACCCTGATGGGAGACATGGACCAGCCACAACAGCAAAACACACCAGGACCTCCGTCTGGATTTATGACACAGCAGCAAAGGAATCTCAGTAACCAACAAGATTATAACAGGCCTAGGCAGTACGGTATGAATCAAACGCCATCGTCTACAGTTGGAGGATATGGTATGAACAATCAACAACAACAGTTGAGACAATCTCAACAACAGACTTTGACCGGGGGTGAACATTCAAAGCCATCTTTTTATCAACAGCCAACGCCTCAAGTGTACAACCGGTCTCAAAAGCCAGTTCCAATGGCTATGGTAGCAGCAGGTGAGTTATTTGTTAATTTATTTTCTATTTTATAATTGTTATTTTAGTTCTATGAATATTTTTCAACTAATTTTATTTCTTTCATCTTATTTTCCTCGCACTAATTCCAACTACTTGGGATCAGCTACCCTTATCTTCCACTTCCATTTAATACGATCTCCCACATTTTATGTTCACATCAGCCGTCCCAATAACATCCCTCCATCTCTTTTTTCGTCTTCCTTTACCTCTTCTTCCTTCAACATTTATTTCTATAACTGTTTTTACAGTTTCTGTTCCTCTCTCCTCATAACATAACCAAACCATCTAAGTCTATTTTCTCTCATCTTATCCACGATTAATGTTACACCTATAATCTATAACCTCTTATATATTCAATCCTTATTCTATCTTCTCTAGTCACTCCACTCATCCATCTAAGCATTTCAACAGATTTTATCTAATTAATCAAATATTTAAAGCAAAATAAAATTGCCTCAAAATTTGAAAATTTGATTGGCAACTAGATAATCAAAGATATAAAAAATCGAAAAGTATTTTTTAAACTAATTAAGTGTTTAGGTAAAATATTGTTGTATTGGAATATAGATAATCTAAAATTTATACATGTCAATCTTTAATTTACTGCGTTTAATTGTTAAAAATAAAATTATACTTAAATTAAAAATTGCATATGATTAGTAAAGTTATAGTGAGAAATTGATTTGTCGGGAAAATTACACAAAGATTACATTTGTTTTATGTCAAGTTAATTAAAGTATGCATAGAAATTTTTTTTTTAAATTTTACATTTTATTAAACCAAAAATCATTAACACATTTTTTCCGAAAGAAAAAATTAAACATCTAAATTAATTAATGTATTAAGGTAAGAACTTTCAAACAAGAAAGTTATCTTAATTTTTTGAATGTATTCTATGTGTATTTTTTAAAATTATTCCATAAATTATTTCAAATTTTATCAAATTAAACCCTCCCTTCATTAAAAAAAAATTCGGTTGTTTATATTTTACTGGATAAACATCAATTCGCTTATATTAAACCTAGTATGTGTTTAGCATTGATAATGGTAACATTGTTTCCGGAATACGTATTCACGACTTTTCATTAATTTTTTTGTAGCTTTTGAGTTTAATAATTTTTAGTTTTTTAAATTATTTATATTTTTAATATAGTTTAAATTTTATTTAATTAATTAGCCACAAGTGATCAATTATTATTATAAACCTAGTAGTTTTTTTTTAAATATTCAGTTGTGCTGTAATAATTAGTATGTAAAAATGCGAATAGAGCTATTGAAGTTAATGCCAGATTTTTATATACAAGTTGATTTATTTATCTTAAACCACTTATAAACTCAAGATTTTTCAGTTTATTTTTTCAAATGGCAAAATACATAATTAACTTACTTATTAAATAAATAATAACCTAATTAAGAAAATAACTAGTCGATAAATATTTTTGAAATATTATATTGACTTTTTATAAGGTATTAGGGATGAACACAATAAATTCTCAACGTTGTTTTTATTTTTTGATTTATTAGGTTGTTAATGATAAACGAATTACTCTGTATAATGATTTTTATAAGATATATGATTGATAAATGGTAAAGAATTGGATTGAAAATTAATATTTTATTTAGAAATAAATGTTTTTTAAATATATAAAAATCATGGAAAATAGAATATATTTCGGATGGTGTGATATGGAAAACTTTAAATTTGATTTTCTAAAAATTAAAAAAGTGTGTGTAAAAAAAATACAGAGTGATTCTTTTAACACTAGCTACTCAATTTTGATTAAAATAATAATTTTTTTTGGGGTTTTGTTAGTTAAACATGTATCTCCATTTATCTGTTTTGAATATTTTTTATGAGCGTCCCTTATACCTTGTAAGGATATAGACTTTATTTATTTTGTAACATACATGTTTAACCAGCTTATAAAATAGGAAATAATGTATGAAAAAGCCTGGTTGATAACTTTTGGACCAATATTTTAAAAGTTTTTAACACATTTATACTTAGACAGGAGTAGGAATGAGGCCCAAAAATATCTATTTTTTATATTTAAAAGAACAGAAACTATCCTCATATTCAGTCATTTTTTAAATTGGTAGTATCTTCTGAAATACTGTTCCAAAAATTGTTATCAACCAGGCTTTTTCTTAGTTACACCATTTTCTATCCTATAAACTGGTTAAATATGTATGTCGATATTTATATAAATAAAGTCTACACCCTTATAAAGGGCGGAAATAAAAAATTATTTTATAACAGATAAATTGATATACATATGTAACTAACAAATATAAAAACAATATGGTTAAAAAACTTACTATATTAGGAGAAATTGAGTGCATTTCAATGATGTAATTAAGAAAAATTCAGTGGTTAGTGTTAAAAGAATCATTCTGTATATTATTGGAGCGATTCTTGCTAAGGAAGTAAAAAAAAAGTATTAGGAATTTTAGCACAATTTAATTTTGATAACTCCAATTAGTAAACAAATTATGTAAGTATTAAAAAACATATTAAAGTAGTTGTCATAATTAAAATTTCGATTTAACATTAATATAAAGTAAAAAAATATGATTAGTTAAACTAATATTTTTTAGCTTCGATGCATTAGTTTTACTATTTGTTTTTTTTTTTGTGTCTATTACCACTTTTTTTCATTTCTTTCAAAATATCACAAATCGTATCTAGTCGAAGACATTACCCTCAAAAATTGAAAAAATTTTTCTCGTTCCACGAAAATGGGGGAAATCTCCAAAAAAATTACAAATTTAAAAATCGTTAATTTTCGAAATTTTTTCAATTTTTTTTACCTAAATCTGCCATAACTTTTTCAAAAATGACCAAATCAAAATAATTTTTTTTATAGATACATGAGGTATTTACCAATAATTTTGTATATATTTTTTTATAAATCTGACCCTTTACCTGCCCACAGGGGGGATTCAAAATAACAACTTTTTCACAAAAAATACACTTTTTCAAGTTAACTTTTTAAAGTGTTCTGGAAAGTCTGACACTATTATATATATTTTAAATTAAAGCTAATCTAATATACTTTATCATGGAAAAAAATATTTTGGACTTTATTTTCTCTTCACGGTGAAAGTGGCTCCCGAATGCTATTTTTGTGTGAAAATTCTCTATTTATATTTTACATTTTTAACTTTATTATGCTATAACTTTTTGAAAAATGTATGGATCAATAAAATTTTTTCATGAGAAGTAGTATTTATATACATCTTTCATTCGACATACTTTTTTTTAAATCTGACCATTTCCCTTTATATATTATAAATATATATATATTTATTCATATAATACACTTATAAATCATAAAACTTGTAATCAGGATATAAATAAAGAAATAGGAGATCATGTAGCTTTTGGAATAATCCATCAATTTTTTTAAATGAAACACTATCTACAGATTTGCATAGTTTTTTTTTGATAGTGATTTTAATCACTGTCAGATATCATTATACTTGACCCAACTATGCTACATCCCCACTGTGTTGGGTTTTTTTTTTACTTAATACTGCCATAACTTTTTTTTATTATTGACATAAGATAGCACTAGTAATAATATGCTTTTTAAATAGTTCTAAAACAATTTGTGCATTAGTTTTTACAAATCAACAAATATAAATATTAAAATATCAGATTCGATTAGTCTTCACGAGTTTGGGTGTCTTAAGTAGAATTTGTGATTTGAGCTTTGTGGCCATGTTAATATACATACTACTGTATATATAATCGGATTTAGATTTTACTTACACTTTGGTTTATAAAGACGGTTAAATATAACGATTTTGTTGTTTATATATACTGGACTGTGTAGGTTCATTTGTATTTATAATATAATAATACTTTCAATGAAAAAATTATTATCCATTGAATATTGATCAAATATAGTTCTAAGTTTGATTGACAAATTATAAAGAGTTTCATATTTATGATATTAATAGTGATTTATTATTTATTATTTATTAATGTATTAGTAGTAGACATTTAAAAAGAAATCGGTATGAAAAAAATATTAAAAATATCATTTCAAATAATTTTTTTTGACGAAAATATTTTGTGCATATTTGACTTTTAACTAGATGATTTAATTAATATTTAGAAGTATAGAATTTTAATACGTCGTGTAGTCGGGCTTGAAGGTCAACTCAAAAAAATGTCGAAGAGTTATATTTATCGCAAGTTAACCCTATGGGTTTTCTAATTTGTTATAATATTTGGTATTATACCTTTCTATAAACCCACAGGTATACCATTTAGAAATATATTTTAATTAAATTAATTTTTATAAAATAATTAAAAAATTAAATAAAACTAAGTTATATGTTCTCGATTTTACTTTACTGTAGAAATCAATAAATCATATCAAAATTAAAAGAAAACGTTTAATGTGTATTTTATTGACAAGTACATGGCACAAATTAAGGATCTTGCATGACTTCACTGAAGTAGGGATCTGGTATAGATATCTGACATTAGATTACTAAAGATTAATATCTAATAATGATTAACACTATTATTAAACTTAAAAATCACTCTGTATATATAATATTAAATATAGAAATTATTTTTTTGTTTATTTTTAAAAGTTAAAATATTATATTATTTTGAGGATATCCTACTTTTTAAGGGATAGAAAAAAATTTTTTGAGATCAATGTTTTTAACTAAATACGATTTGTAATCTTTTGATATATAATTTAAAAAAATTGGTCCAGAGGAGTTAAGAAAAATGGGGAACAGACATAAAAAATACATTATAGTGAAATTAATTCCTTTTCAGCTTTACAATGAAGTTAAAAAATTGAGTAATTTTCTTTATTTAATATAACAATGTTTTCAAAAATTATCGATTTCAAAAAAAAAAAAAAAAAATACTGTATATATATACAATTTTATGATCTGATTCTTAACTCTCAAATGTTATCTGTTATTTAATGGATTTAGTCACAAAATAT